TAAAAACTGAATATATGATTATAGGAACTCGGCAAAAGATGGCTTCATTGATCGACGATGTTGCACTCTCTATTGGAGGTATTTCACTTTGTAAAGTAAGACATGTAAAATGCTTAGGAGTTACAATTGATGAAAATTTGACGTGGAAAAAACATGTTGACAATGTTATTAAAAAGGTCTCAATTGGCATGGGTTTATTACGTAGAACTAGGAATTTTTTGACAGAAAAACAACTCATTACTATATATCATTCAATTATTGAACCACACTTTGATTACTGTTGCATTGTTTGGGACTCTATGAGTGATACACTGGCAAATAGAATACAAAAATTACAAAACCGGGCTGTTCGTATTATTAGCCGGGCCGATTATTCTGTTAGGTCTGCTGCCCTGCTCGAAAAATTTGGGTTACCGACTCTAGATGAGAGAAGAAAACGGTTTAAAATGTCCATGTTGTTTAAAATCTTGAACAATGATGCTCCAACTTATTTGAAAGAGTTATTTAACTACAACGACGGAGCTCAATCCTTTGGGCTACGTAATGCGAATTTAAATCTGTCACTGCCATCAGTCAAAACAGAATTGTATCAACAAAGGTTTGCTTTTTCTGGCGCCAAGCTTTGGAACACCTTGCCAAATGATCTTAAAACAGAAACATCTTTAAAAAATTTTAAAGATAAATTGGCTACACATCAACTCTCTGTTCTCTAATATTGATATACATTTCATATAATTAAATTGCATGCACGGCTTACGGGATATATATATATATATATATATATATATATATATATATATATATATATATATATATATATATATATATATATATATATATATATATATATATATATAATATAAATATATAAACAAAGAATATATATAAGACATGGGCAAACATGGCTTATATTAAACATTGTCCAAGAATCTTTCTTGATATTGAGCAAATTGCCTAATATTAAATAGAGTAAAACTTAAAACGCTGTTATTCCTGCGACAACAATTATTGCCCAACTATAATCAAATTGTTACCTTGCACATTTCTCTTTACTCTCATGGGAATAACTTACTTCATGTGGATGATATTCATTGGTGTTTTTTTCTGCTCTGTGTGAGCTGTTGATTGGTCTTTCCAGTTTTTGGATATTTCCCTCCATTTTTGGTTTCATCTCTTTCATTTGTGATTGATTTTTGGTTGTCCTAACCAATTCGTCATTATCACGCTATAAGATGAGTATATAGGCTGTTGCAGTATATTGACAATTATTGGTGTAATTTAATTAATAAATCAGCAGCCCATGATTATCAACATGAAAACCCAGAGACTAGCTTAGACGTTGGTCCTTGTTTTATGGGGGTTCGTTAATAGTAATCGCAGGTTGAGGGTGGGCATTAGCTTTCAATTGGAGAAATCGAATTGATTCAAGCCAGTGATTGGCTAGCAGCAGATAAACATTGGATTTCCAACACGAGTTCTACGCATGCTCGACAATTGTTACAAAAATATAAACAAATACTTTTTACACTGAAATCAATTGAAAACACTAAAAATTCTTGGGTAAATATGTACGAAAGCTTCAGATTGATAGCAATTCAAATACCTCAAAAATACAAGAAGAACTTCAACATTTCAAGCAAAGGCATTTTGACTTGTACTGTAAGTGTTTGTATACATCGTACTTGACCTTTACTGATAAATATAATCTCCTTAAGAATGAGAGAATGTTTGGTGTGAAGTGTGGACCGTCCTGCAGTTGATGCCTTTAAAACTGGACGAAAGGTTTAAATTACAACAAAATTTTTAGTTGTTTTCAATTGATTTTAACAGTGTAAAAAGTATCAAATTTTCGACGAGAAATTCTAAATATACTTTGCTTATATTTTGCAACAATTGCTGAGCATGCGTAGAACTCACTTTGGAAATCCAACGTGGATCAATTCTATTTCTCCAGAGCTATGCCCACCCTTAACCTGCGAACGGGCATGCTCTGGGAATGAGATTGGAAAAAAGTCGGAAACAAAAGGGCAAATTTTAATAGGGTCACAGGGTGCCGAAGCAATTATTATGTATATAAATTATTTTCTGTTGTCAAATTCTTTGAAATCCTGCATCCTAATATTCATAACCATTTAAAACATACCTGGTCCTGAAAATATGCCTCTTCTTTTTCTTGTGCTTCCTTCTGCTATAAAATTTACAACATGCACAGATCAGATCTGCCTCCTCGACAGGGTGCCCGACTACAGTATGACCTATTTATATATCAATATCTCTGTATCAATATGGATACGAAACACACAGAAGCGAGGAATGTGTGTTTAGTCCACTGACCGCTTTGATATAACTGTATGCAGGGGCACACATTAGGGGAGGTGTGTGTGTGTGTGTGTGTGGGGGTGACACCCCTTTTTTTCTGAAATATATCTAAAAAGTCGGTCCCAAAACCTGTATGGGATGAAAAAAAGTCGGTCCAGCTAAAATCTGAAAGACATTTATATCATTTTGTGTCAAAAAAAGAAATGGGTGGGCATTTTGGAAATGAAATCTAACAACATTAGGTGACCTTCTGTGGTTGTAACTTTTCTTCCAACCTCGTCCTTAAAATACGCGAAATAGTGTTCTAATGAATCTAGAAATTCAAAATTTTCCTCGCACTCAAATTTTGGCTCCCCGAAAGTTTAGAGCAAAAGTTCTGAAAAATTAAACAATTATTTAAACTCTTGAAATACTATATCCCTGTCTATGAGTCCATCCGCAATTTTGGAGCAATGTGGCAGTGTATTGCTAGCATTTAATATACACATTTATATAGCCGATTACATCCACATCGAGTGAACATGCAGCTTTTCGAGTTTGAAGCTTAAATTGATTAAGAATGCCATTTGTTCAGTGATGAAAGAAAGAAGGCTAAGGGATCTAATCACACTTGGATGAGAAAAGGATCTCACAGATACAATAGCCAGACACTGTTGTTAATCGTTGGACCAAGCTGCCAAAACAGAACGCCTTATTCGTGTGAAATAATTCCGATTGTCATTTTTCCATCAAATAAACTGTGCAGGTGAACTATTTAAAAACTGATTTGATTGCCTGAAATCTATAACTTTCTAAACAATTTGAGTTATCAAGCATTTAATACTCTTAGTTGAATATCATGCAGGCCGCACACACTATAAATTCATTTTGAAGCATTATTGAGCTCTTGACCTTCAATAAAGTACTATTCTTTATATTAATAATACTGTGGGCTTGTGGCTAATATACTGGTTATAAATTCAAATTAGAACAACAGATTAATTTCTAACGGTCTACTTTTTGACACCCCTGTATACTATTTTTTACATAGTTACTCGGCTTTGTGCTATTACTATACGTCAAACTCTTAAATTTTATATTAATTGTATTTATAACAACAAGACTGTGACATTAACGGAATGCCTTACTTTCACCGGTTCACAAGTACTGTGCACACCTTAAAATAGTTCAAATAGTATAAAAGTCGGTCCCGGAACATAGGACACCACACCCAAACATTTTTTGAATGTGCGCCTATGCCCCCGAGTCTGTATGGAGCTAAAATGGAGCTTTATTTGTGCCTTTTTCTGCACTGACCGCTTTAATGTTAAATGTAACTGTATCGAGATTATGTAAGGATTAATTAATATCCAGAGGATTAAACCATATTGATACAGAGATATTGATATATAAATAGGTCATAGTCAGGCACTCTGTGCCTCCTCCGCAGGCCCTCGTTGCATCATGGGAAGGTCTGGAACACTGAGACACCGCTACGCAGCATAAAAATACTAGTGTGAAGCTACCACAGGATTCCACACAGGATTGAACCGCACTTTCGCTCTCACCAAAATAAGATATGAAAAAATGGTTAGGCCAAAAAAAAAAATATGTGGGTTTCCGGTTTCCCGACCCTACCTAGCGTTTGGACGTCGAAATCCTGACCCTAAACTTTTTTATTGGATCATGCTTGTAAGTGTTTCCACTTAGAGGAAAAAGTTTGTGGAAAATTGAAATTTGAGGCAATATTAGGGAAATTTATCTTTGGATGTGGAAGCACTGACTAAACAAAATGGCGTCCGCTTGTTAGGAAAATTAAAAAAAAAGTTTAAAAAAAAAGTTAAAACCGACCTACCCTACCTAAGTTTTTATAAGAAGAAACCGGAAACCCACATATTTTTTTTTTGGCCTTAGAACATCAAAATATCAATACTAAATATAAAACCACCCGGTGACCAGTGTGGAAAGTTTGTATCGCGCGGCGGATATCTCCGGCGCGCAATTTTGATGCTTTCTATATATTTACTATTAAATTTTCGAAATCTCCGGCGCGCAATTTCCAAACTTTCCAGTCTGGTCAACTGGTTGTAAGTCTCTGCCCTCATGGGCCCTAAAATTAAAACCTTTGAAAAGATGAAAAATGTATATTTTA